TTCCGTAAGATGTGGCCGTACCAACGTAGGCGGCTTTCTTGCAGTTTATCTGCAATGTCACGGACATGAAGGCTGCCGCGGATGCGGGAGTTTCTGACACGGTCTTTCCGTGAAACTCCACACATCCAGCGCAGCATCTTCATTTCCGTGACACGCAGCTCCTGCTTATGACGCTCAAGTACGGGCCACGTTTCACTGCCATATAAAAGGACAGGCCTAATGATGGATTTATAGACCTGTCCTTTCAGCTAATCTTGGGGTCACAAATTACACCAGTCACCTCACGCCACTTTGCCCAAGCGGCTGCGATTCGGGCTCTGACGTCGCAGTCGATGTCTCCGAACGCGCTAAGTACAGATCCCAAGTATTTAAACTGGCCCGTAGGCTCGACCGCGTCTTCGCCTATGCGTACGGGTAGGGGATCTGTAGCGTTGCAGACCATGTACTCAGTCTTCGCCACATTTAGTCTCAAACCGCCGTTCTCAAGCGACTCCTTCCACACATTCACTCGTCGTACCAGTCTCCCTCTATCCGCATCCGCCAGCGCGATATCGTCAGCGTACATAAGCATCCACGGGGGTTGCTCATGCGTGTCTCGGATGGAGCTTGAGACCTCGTCTAATATCACGCTGAACAGATAGGGACTGAGAACTGAGCCCTGGTGAACTCCGACTGTGACAGGGAAGGGTTTAGTGTCACCAACAGCAGTCCTAACCATGGATTCGGAATCGCGGTACATGTCTCGGATGATGTCAATATAAGCTTCTGGTACCCCTTTGGATCTCAGTGCCCACCAGATCATTACACGGGGGATACAGTCGAAGGCCTTCTGCATGTCAAGAAACATGAAATGCAGAGGCGTATTCTTCAATCTGTATTTCTCCATGATGACCCTTAGGGCAAAAACAGGATCCATGGTCCCAAGACCAGGCCGAAACCCATATTGACCCTCCGAGACAGCACTCTCCTGTCGGATCCGAGAGTCTATTATACGCTCGAAGAGCTTCATGGTGTGGGACATGACCTTTATGCCCCGATAATCGCCACACTCCTGCACCGATCCCTTCCCTTTGAAGACTGGAGTGATAATACTCAGTCTCCATTGGTTAGGGATTTTACCGGTGAGGAGCACGCGATTAAAGAGGCCGGTAAGGATGCCCACACCACGGGGACCCATTGCCTTCCAGGCCTCGATGGGAACCCCATCGGCTCCGACAGCTTTCCGATTCTTCATGCGACGAAGAGCTAAGTGGACTTCCTCAGGCGTTACCGGTCGCACTAGTCCCTGATTCGGAGGGAGGACCGGTGGCTGCACCTCTCTGTGCTGCTGATTCAGCAGCTCGTGGAAATATGAGCGCCATCTCTCCTTCACCGCGTCGACCTCGCATATAAGGTTGCCATGAGGGTCTTTAATGCAGCGACACTTGGAAATATCTTGTGCCGCTAAGACCCTCGAACGTGCCAGCTTAAAGATAAGCTTCTGCCCCTCAGACGATTCCGTCTGGCTCTGGCTACAGCTTTCTTAGCGGCACGTTTGGCATCCCTATATGCGTCGCGGTCTTCAGAAGATTCGGACGCTTGCCACGTTTTGAAGAGGGCTTTCTTCACCCTCACCTCCCTCTGGACTGTGTCGTTCCACCACCAAGTTTCTTTGTCACATTTGCGATCACCCTTGGACAAGCCCAGCACCGCTTTCGCCGCCTCAGATATGGCAGCCTGAATGTTGTCCCAGTGGTTCTGGACTAGATCACCTTCAGTGTCGGCGCATTTATCGCCGATCGCTGAGATGAACTCCTGGGACGTGGTACTATCAAGCCGCCACCATCTGATTTGGCGTCGGCAGCGCTCAGCGGGCTTGTCGGCCGGCTTTACGCAGAGATCCATGACAAGAAGACGGTGTTGCGCAGTGAGACTCTCACCTGGTATGACCTTGCAGTTGGCCACTTTGCTGATATGGTGTCTCCTGGTGAGTAGGAAATCGATTTGGGTGGCGTGTCCGCCGCTCTTATAGGTGATTAAATGCTCGGGGTTCTTTTTAAAGAACGTGTTCACGATGGCGAGATCGGCCGCCGCACACGTTGTGAGGATGTCTCCTCCCTCCGCGTTGCGACTGCCGTACCCGTAGCCACCGTGGATCCGCTCGAACCCTTCACACGCCTCACCCACATGACCGTTCAGGTCGCCACCCAAGACGACTGCCTGAGACAAAGGAATGGCACTCAGCACTTCCCCGAGTTGATCCCAGAACCTCGCCCTGTCCGTGTCGCTGCAACCGGCCTGAGGTGCGTAGGCGCCTATCAAGTGGGTCACGACCCCTTCGATAAGCACCCTCACTACCATAAGCCGGTCGCTAAAGCGTTTCACTTCCAGGACGTGATCGTGAAACTCCTCGGAGAGCACCACGGCCACCCCGTTCACGCCCCCAGGAGCACCGGTGTAGATCAGCTTGTAGCCATTCCCAATGAGCCGGGATCTGCTGCCTTTCCACCGAGTCTCCTGCAGGAACGCCACGGCGACCCTCCGCCTGGAAAGCACGTCTGCTAGCTCCCTCGCGCGTCCAGTCAGCGTGCCAATGTTCCACGTGGCAAAGCGGAGCTTCCTGTGATGGGTAGGGGCTCGCCTCTTTAACCGTGCCCACCCTTGACACGGTAGCCCTAGTCCACTTGCCACAGAAGTCGGGCGAGGCTCCTGCGCGCCGTTTTGCGGCGGCGCCCTATCCCTATGCCATATCCTTCTGTTGACTTCCATAAGTTGATGTGGCGGTGTTGGTTTTTACGGGAGCGACTGCCGTCTGACCTCCCAACCCCCGAAAGGGAAAACCCCTCGCTAGAGCCTCGTCCGTCTATCAGCAGGCGCACCACTTGCAGGTGAGGTTAGCTTGGGCTCCAAGATGTAGGTGGAGCCCCCAAAACGCCCCAACGAGTAAATAAACAAGTAAATAAACGAATAAATAAAAGAATAAATAAACGAATAAATAAAGGAATAAATAAACGAATAAATAAAGGA